TGTAGCACAGGGACTTGCGAATTTGTTACATAAGCTGTGATTGGACTTAAACCGACGTAAATTGCTAGACGTTTTAAAGGGTTAGATCAATGATAAAAATGTCCCCCACTAATGGTTATAATGTATATACCATCGTGGGTAGGGTTAGGGAGGATGCTTTTCAAAGTGCTGTTTTAAACTTTTAACACGCCCAGGATACCTCTCTTTCCATCAGAATTGGTCCAAACATAACAACTGTAACACACACAACCGCACACCCATATACACTCACACACAAAGACACATCCTCCCACAAACCAACCCCAACACACACCCACAACCGCAAACCCATATACACACACACACACAGACACAACCTCCCACAAACCAACCACAACTCACACACACAAGCGCACCACTATACACACACACACAGACACACCCCCCCACAAACCAACCTCAACACCCACACACAACCGCACCCCCATATACACACACACTCACAGACACATTCCCCACAAACCAATCCCAATACACACACACACAGACACACCCTCCCACAAACCAATCCCAATACACACACACACAGACACATCATCCCACAAACCAACCTCAACTCACACACGCAACCGCACACCAATATACACTCACACACTCATCCTCACACAAACCAACCCCACCGCACACACACAACCGCACCCCCATATACACTCCCACACACAGACACATCATCCCACAAACCAACCACAACACACACACACACCCCCGCACCCCCATATACACCCACCCACAGACACACCCTCCCACAAACCACCCTCAACTCACACACGCAACCGCACACCAATATACACACACACACACATCCTCCCCCAAACCAACCACAACACACACACACAACCACACACCCATATAAACTCACACAAACAGACACATCCTCCCCCAAACCAACCACAACACACACACACAACCCCACACCCATATACACGCACACACACAGACACAACCTCCCACAAACCAATCCCAATACACACACACACAGACACAACCTCCCACAAACCAATCCCAATACACACACACACACACCCGCACACCAATATACACACACACACAGACACATCCTCCCACAAACCAACCTCAACTCACACACACAACCGCACACCAATATACACACACACACAGACACATCCTCCCACAAACCAACCTCAACACACACACACAACCGCACACCCATATACACTCACACACACAGACACATCCTCCCACAAACCAACCCCAACACACACACACAACCGCACACCCATATACACTCACACACACAGACACATCCTCCCACAAACCAACCCCAACACACACACACAACCGCACACCCATATACACTCACACACACAGACACATCCTCCCACAAACCAACCCCAACACACACACACAACCGCACACCCATATACACTCACACACACAGACACATCCTCCCACAAACCAACCCCAACACACACACACAACCGCACACCCATATACACTCACACACACAGACACATCCTCCCACAAACCAACCCCAACACACACACACAACCGCACACCCATATACACTCACACACACAGACACATCCTCCCACAAACCAACCCCAACACACACACACAACCGCACACCCATATACACTCACACACACAGACACATCCTCCCACAAACCAACCCCAACACACACACACAACCGCACACCCATATACACTCACACACACAGACACATCCTCCCACAAACCAACCCCAACACACACACACAACCGCACACCCATATACACTCACACACACAGACACATCCTCCCACAAACCAACCCCAACACACACACACAACCGCACACCCATATACACTCACACACACAGACACATCCTCCCACAAACCAACCCCAACACACACACACAACCGCACACCCATATACACTCACACACACAGACACATCCTCCCACAAACCAACCCCAACACACACACACAACCGCACACCCATATACACTCACACACACAGACACATCCTCCCACAAACCAACCCCAACACACACACACAACCGCACACCCATATACACTCACACACACAGACACATCCTCCCACAAACCAACCCCAACACACACACACAACCGCACACCCATATACACTCACACACACAGACACATCCTCCCACAAACCAACCTCAACACACACACACCACCGTACACCCACACACACTCACACATACATCCTCCCTCAAACAACCCACACACACACACACACAACCGCACACCCATATACACTCGCACACACAGACATATCCTCCCACAAACCAACCTCAACACACACACACCACCGTACACCCACACACACTCACACATACATCCTCCCTCAAACAACCCCAACACACACACACACACAACCGCACACCCATATACACTCGCACACACAGACATATCCTCCCACAAACCAACCTCAACACACACACACCACCGTACACCCACACACACTCACACATACATCCTCCCTCAAACAACCCCAACACACACACACACAACCGCACACCCATATACACTCGCACACACAGACATATCCTCCCACAAACCAACCTCAACACACACACACCACCGTACACCCACACACACTCACACATACATCCTCCCTCAAACAACCCACACACACACACACAACCGCACACCCATATACACTCGCACACACAGACATATCCTCCCACAAACCAACCTCAACACACACACACCACCGTACACCCACACACACTCACACATACATCCTCCCTCAAACAACCCCAACACACACACACAACCGCACACCCATATACACTCACACTCACAGACATATCCTCCCACAAACCAACCCCAACACACACACACAACCGCACACCCATATACACTCACACACACAGACATATCCTCCCACAAACCAACCCCAACTCACACCCGCACACCCATATACACTCGCACACACAGACACATCCTCCCACAAACCAACCCCAACACTCATACACATACCCCCCCCCCCCCCCCCCACACACACACACACATACGCACAGACTCACACACACACACATACACAGGTGATTGCAACTATAAAATGGTTATTATAGAGAAAGACATAATTGAATTACACTGTATTAAACAATTGTTTCGTTCTGATTCTAGGGGCCGAAAAGTTGGAAATCCAAATTGGGTAAAGCTACTGTTTAAACAGTAGGAGAGTGTGTAAAATTTCGAATTTAGAGGTATACACGTTAATTCCAAATTAAATTCTCTAAACAATATACGTGTATTTGGTGAACCGTACCTTTAAATAGTAAATAATATGCTCGTACCGTCGTGTCAGGTACATTACAGGATATCAACTAAATTTAGGATATCGTCTCATAAATTAAATATAGAAATTGGAAGACATCATAACGTCACACGCAGAAACAGGATTTGTAACAAATGTAATTTGAGAGATATAGAAGACGAGTTTCATTTTTTTTTATTTGTCCATCTTATAGCGATCTCAGGCACAGATTAATCAAACAATATTTTTACAGAAAACCCTCGATTTTTAAATGAATACATCTACTTAGTATGAATAATGTTAGAGAGCTATCCAATTTAGGAAAATATTTATATTTAGCATTTAAGAGGCGTTAGTTTAAGGTTTATGTATTGTGGTGTTTCATAACTGTAATTGTTAATTAAGTATTGTTATATGCACATTATTGAACGGTGTTTTATGTATACTGTGATGTCACTCTCCTGTCTATTCTTATTATGTTTAGAGAATGTTATATGCATATATGTATGTACCTATAAGCCTAAAGGCTTTTGGCTAATAAAGAACAGTACACGATATTGGTTAACGTCTCTGATTGTTTATGAATATCGCAGGGAAACATAAGTGGTGTTTGACGCTAGATTATATAATGCATATTGTTAAGGGGTTTACATAATGTAAGATAAATAATATCAATTAGAAATTTGCGAACGACATTGATTAAATGCCTATTGATAAGAGGTGGAAAAAATCGTCTGTCGGCTTAATTGTTATCACCTGTTGATTTTCAGCTTCATTTTACATATTTCCAACATTTAATCACAACTTTTGTATGAGGTCAAAGTGGCAAAATAATTTGAAACCATGCGTAAACAACATATTATACTCTGTAAAACCCAAAATCGATGATGGTATCCACGCTATAGAGAGGTATACTCTAAAATATTCTATTATTTCACACTTTATATACATATCCCTATATATAAAGTGTATATTTATGTAATGCATATTAAGTAATCGTGTATATATGTACCAAATACTTTGTATATATGTTCCACATTACTTTGTAATCTTCATCTTTGGAGGCAATAATGAGAATAATAATAGAGAAAAACCACCGAAACGAAGTGGTCTTTTCCGTCTCCCGATTGGCCATGCATGCATACCCATTTATATTTAATGAAGCATGTCACGAACCATTTATAGTAAAGCAATTGTTGTCAGATTGCATTGACCTTCAGCAAACACAAGAATATTTTATAGTAATACAACCAGGTACACATCTGTGTTGATGGGCCGTTAAGAGCTCAACAACTAATATACTTACAGTTATAACCGTACTGTCCGTCATGTTATGTCAAAATAAATTGATTTAAACATTTTGTATTTTCAAAAATAAAAAAAGGGATTGACACAAGTTATCAAACTTACAGTTCGTCATCTCCGTTACAACAATAATGATGGTATATAAGTATAAGGCTACAAAATAGAAAACATTGATGAACATTTAGATGATTTAAAAGGAAACACGAATAAGATAAAATGTACAATATACAAATCTTCTAGATTTTTTTTTTGTATTGTATGTACCATTACATGTCTCATCAACCTGTATATAATATAAACATACGCTGTAACATTACTGTAAACAATCTAAAGTGTATATGCTCACGTTGAAACTTCTGTCAATGATGCATATCATTTAGTCACTTAAATATAAAATTAAAATAAATAAAATTAGCTTTGTAATCAACCTGCATGTTTCCACACCGTAGCAGCTTGATGGCACAGCAGACCGCATCACACAATGGTCACATCCTTGAAGCTTTCTTTAAAACGTACCGTACCATAATGTCCGCTTTCAACACGTATAAATAACTCACATTCTTGGCTTCCGTAGCAGTTCCCAGCTGGCTAGCTATATAGGCTTCCTGTTATTCCGGATACGCGTCACTCTAGTACAACAATGCTAACCAAGTGCAGGTGATATATAAGTGTATTTACTTTTGTTTTAACATATTCTGAACAAAACCGTTTTGAGTTTTTAATATATTCTTGAACTTATATATGAATAGAAAACAATTTCCACTACCAGTAAACATGTCCGAACCATACAAAAGTGAATAAGCAGTTAAAAAATCTAAATTAAAATTCCCTAAAAGTTGTCTGTTATCAACGTATCCTCGTGTTACCGGTTTCCGCGCACTTAAGAAGCATCCGCGATTTCGTACTCATATCGGCAGAAAACTGTTGAAATTACGGATGCCTGTCATAAATATGTACACAATATACTGATGGAAACAAAAAACTAGCAACATAAAACTGTATTTAAAAACCCCCAGAAGACAAACACGAACATATCGCAGCCTCCCAAAATACACACACATACACTACACGCATGCATCTTGCACACAGGGGAGGCCGTCCTTAAATGACCTTAGCTGTTAATAGGACGTTAAACAAAATCAAACAAACAAACAAACAAACCGTCGGAAGTAGCCGTCATATGTTTCTGTGTGTATATTTTGATTGAGTGTTCAAAGAAAGATCACTCGAATACACTAAAAGGAATACATTGTTTTTATCTTTGATCGTCAAATTAGTTATCAAAACAAATTTTTAAAAATTTCACATTTTTCATTGATTTTTTCGATATGACAACTTGAACGAATTCATGTAATTTTTATAAATTTATTTATTTTATTTATCTTGTTATTTTTTTTCTTGCAGTCTTATATCGGTGTTCGTTGATGGTAAGTTATTTCTCATTTTGTTCTGTTTAAAATTGGTGAAAATTGGAAGTTCATTGCATTACAAGGTTTACGTTTCATTGAAAACTCAGTTTATCGATACAAGAATGTCTCTTTGGCTCTTCGGAAGTGGAAAAAAATCGGCAAGGAGATGTGGCCTCATTTGCATACGACATTTTCGTATGTTTGTCAGATTTCAGGTATGGGCTCATTTTGAGCAAGATAAAAAAGTGCATTAAGCAAAACTGCATATTTATGCGTGATTATTTCTTGTTTTCCGGAAAAAAGCAGGACACGTTGTAACGAGATATAGCTTGATAAAATTGCTGCGCAGAAATATATAACGCGCGGAAACTGATGACTTGACGATAGGTATTTACTTTCACTCCGGTCTTTGTTTAAATTTAGGAATTAAAAGTAATACAATAGTATTATACATTTGTTAAACAAACTGAGTTTAAGACTAGATAAATAAGACTATGACACCCTGGTAAAATACGGAGACATTGGAAAATAGTGACCTCTATTACAACTATAATAGTCAATGTATCGTAGCATACCTTACGTACACGTGGCGTGTTAACTGTCACATTTCGATGTCATACAGCATGACAGCCTCGATACGCTCACTTACGCTCTCTGCACCAGTGGCATATGTCATAGCAAAACTAAATGGCCCAGTTGCACACTCTTGTTGATGCAACAAGAAGACTAGTTCGATCCTTTGATTTATATGAAAGAACCTCGCGGTCCCGTAACGGTAAAAAATGACAGGCTTTCTTAAAAAGACAGGTATCAGCCCGGCGATTGGTCAGTGTTTTGTACCCGGGACCAATCATACAGCTTCTTTTGTGCCTTCAGTGTTGCTATGGCATATTCCAGAGGTGCATAAGCCAGTGGGAGTATCGAGGATGATTTAATGACCCCAGTTTGAATTTTGGTTCTGTTATGTCAATTTTTATTTGCTGGATTATTGCATTGGTGTTTTCTCCTAATTTGTCAATACTGAAACAAAATAACACGGCTTTCATAACGATAATTTTAGATACCTTATACGGGCTTTCTTTACATGTTTTTCAACAACATTTGACTCAAGTATTAAAGGGGCATCACGCTGAAGTAACTTTTTTTTTGTCTTTTTTTCCAAATACTACATAAACATATCAAGTGAGACTCCTTATGGAAAATGCCGATCGGATTTGGCTGAAATAGATTCATAAAAATGATTAAATCTAAGATAATCATCGGTATTTCTACCTGTCTGACCAACGTTTTGTTCAGGGATTTCCCTCTACTAGCGCATGCGCATAGCACACCATTTCTTTGTAAACAAAATGACTGGCCGTGTGAAGTAAGCCAAAGAAAAGTGTTGTACCGTGTCAGCTACGAAGCGAATAGTTGCCAAATGGTCAAAAGATAGCGCAAGGGGTACGTTACGGAATCATTATTGCCAGTGGGAAGTATTCAAAGCAGAAAATAACTGCCCTAGCAGTCAGTACGGTGCATGTTTTCTTCCGGATAGCGGCCGGTTAAGCTGAAATAAAATCGACAGAAATGCTAGCGCTGTTTATGTTATGAATAAATATCTAAAACTATTAACCTCGCTAGTATCATTGTGTGAGTTTGAACACAGATGAACTTAGTTTAATATGTTAATGGGCATGTATCGGAGAGAGTTTACTTTGTGTTTTTTATAATTATACAGTGGTTTATGCAAACGAAAGGGATAAGTGACTGGTTAGTTTGATTTTGCCATGAGGCCCCCCAAGGGATAACTGCTGTGATGGCCACGGCGTATTCTGTTCTCTGATCCTCTGTCGGTGCTCGGGGTCAAATGAGATACGTGCGCTATTAGATTTACATAATTTATAATATTACCGGGATCAGTAAAATGGTATGATTTAATTATATTGCTGAATTAAACGATTGTTTTTTGTTTTGACATGCAAGTTTTAAATTAGTACTAATATAATACCCGGCCTGCCCTGGCGCGACGACGCAATATATAAAAAAAAAATCGCTCTTCGTCAGAAAGCTACGTTATCGCAGCTAGATTAAAAATGTCAAAATGACGGACCAGGATGAATAACTGAGGAAGGAGAACCTACTTCTAGTAAATAGGATCGCATAACACTTTTTTTTTAAATCGTAATTTTTCAACAGTTCATGTTTTCATATGATGTTGACTTAGAATGTATGATCATGTAACAACCTTTTCTCTATAAAGAATAAATTTTCGACTTCAGATAGAATCGGAATACGTATTGAAAACAGGGGAAAAAATATTTGATTACGTTATAAAAATGGCGCGTGCTGCCGATAACTACGGCTTCTGTTTCGGACCAAAGGAACTGATTAAAGAAAAGTTGTCTCAGCATAAAAAGGTCCATTTAAAAGTATGCTTTAATCTCTGTAAAGTATTGAAAAAATATAATTATCAAGTATCTCAACACGTTCCTTATTGACACATATTCTACATGTACACGTAGTGGTTTTGCCATACAGTTTATTGTGTGTGATGGTTAATATGACTTCCTAAATGTTAGCGTTTGGAGACAGTGAAAGTGGGAAAGAGAGTATACATAGATTTATATTCATGGTCTAGAAAAAAAATGGCCAAAGACATTGAGTTGTTTAATGTAATAAATAAATTCACAAACGTTTCCTTTTTATATTCGCGTGTAGTTTGTCATTGCATATATGCACTTTATGTAAACATTTGAAAAGGGATATTCGTCTCGTGAATATTCCTTTTTACAGAAAGGTTTGTCCCATTGTTGAGGGAGTGTTTAGCCCCGTACCACCTGTACCGGTCACGGGAGAAGGCTGTGATAAATTGTAAAAACTTGTGCCCCATCCTTTGTTTAATTTTATTGGCAACAAATTTATGTTAAAAGCTAAATAAATTTAAATTCTTAATATTGGCAAGTGTGCAATTAACTTCTGATGATGAATAATTACTGTTCAATAAGTTTGAATACGGAATTAGAAATCATATAACTTGGTTTCATAGTGCGGTAAGAAGTTGCAGTTGCCTGACGGCCCCTCTCTGAGGGCCCCTTTGTAAACCGTTTCATCTCGCTCGCACCACTTGTGTTTGCTGCCTAATCAGGTGACGTTATCGGCGCTATTTTTAGCCGGGCTTTCCCGAACAATTCAAGTGGTCAAACTGGACATTTGGAACGGACTATGAATATGGGGATAGCGAGGTAACATAAGTGGAAGTGCATACAATACATACATTCGTTAAAAAAAAAACGTCTTTTCACGTGATGTCCCTTTAAATGGTCAAAAGGGTCCAATAAATATTCCTTTTCATAAATCCATGATTATATGAGAAAAAATTCATGTCAAAGACATGAATAATGAGTTTTTCCTCATTCGAAGCGAAGCAGACAGCATTTGCCATGATTTTTCCGGTTAATACAAAAATGGATTACATGTAATGTTTCACAAGCGGAATACAAACAAACCCCATATCATTTCGTTCCGTTTGAAATCCCCTCTGATATTTTGTATTAATCCAGAAGCCATGTTTTAAATGTAGATCAGAGATGTGCTACAACGACATGGACACATATTTTGAGTGTTCTATTCCGTAATATACTATATATTTGTGTCTGTGACATACATATGAGATCTGTATTATATAAACCGTGAGTAGACATCGTTGTCATGAACTGTTAACCACTTAAATGAGTTTTTCAAGCCGATTTTGTTCCGCCCGGATGTCGGGCGGAAACTGCATCAAAGAATTAGTGTTTCGGAAATGAGAGGTCGCAGTCAGCAAAATCATATCCGATTGAAAAAAGGCCGACCAGCGGCCTCTCATGTTATGGGAGTATATGTGAGGTATGTGTTGTGTCATAGTATAATTTTTGTTGTCAGCACCACAAAACTCTACGATAACAAACGGCTTCTGGCCCAAAACCAGACATCTATCTGTCAAAATGTCTTAGTCTGATGTCAGAGGTGGAGGAAACGCGGAACTGATAATATGGTATACAGAACATCGATATTTATCTAAAAAGTGTCCCGGTTTGGGTACAGTGACGTTAGTATAGTATGTTGCGAAATAAAACCTGGTTATATTTTCTACAGTATTTGCAAATATGAAGATCCGATTC